TGATGACTAAACCTGTGTGTCTGTTTTCCTGATCTGGGAGAGCCAGAGTGTGCTACGTGTGGGAAGTGGACTCTGCACGTGCTCACAGACACATGTGTGCGTGGCTCATCCCAGGACTACACAGAAGGATAAGTCTTAAGAGTTGGGAGGAGGGATGGAGCTATGGGACCCTCACTGTGGAAAGCTTAGGTCTCTATGCCAGGTGTTTGGCACAGAGACATGAGCCAGCTGGCCCTGTGCATCAACTTGTTGAGATCCCAACCTCGGCCCTCAGCAAGAGGCTGCCCCAGCCTCAACTTTTGGGTTTAATTCCCCCAAAGAGGTTTGTATTTTTGTTTTGTTGAATTTATTTGTACAGCTTTTCCTATTTTTAATCCCCAAGTTGGCTTTTAGTTCATTGAGAAGTAAAACTTAAAAGCCAGAGCTGGAGAGACTGCTCAGAGGTTAAGAGCACTGCCTGTTCTTCCAGAGGTTCTGAGTTCAATTCCCAGCAACCACATGGTGGCTCACAACCATCTATAATGAGATCTGGTGCCCTCTTCTGGTGTACAAGCACACATGCAGATGGAACTCTATAGATACATAGATAGATAGATACATAGATAGATAGATAGATAGATAGATAGAAATAGAGATAGAGATAGAGATAGAGATATAATAAATAGATCTTTAAAAAAACTTAAAAGCCAGAAACTCCTTTCCTTCCCTGTGGGAAAACCGCAAAGTTGAACACTTGGCCTCTCAACCCAAGTCTTTGGTTTTAATCAGATCAGAAAGACTACTGGGGTGCAGTTCCATTGTTAGAGGGCTTGCCTAGCATGCAGGAAGCCCTGGGTTTGATCCCCAGCACTGGATGAACCAAGTGTGGTGGTGCATGTCTATAACAGCACCTAGGAGCTGGAAGCAGGAGTTCAAGGTCATCCATGGCAACATAGCGAATTTGAGGCCCGTTTGGACTACACAGGACCCTATCAAGAAGGGAGGGAGGGGGCTAGAGAGATGGCTCAGTGGTTAAGAGCACTGGCTGCTCTTCCAGAGGTTCTGAGTTCAATTCCCAGCAACCACATGGTGGCTCACAACCATCTGTAATGAGATCTGGTGCCCTCTTCTGGCCTGCAAGCGAGAAAAGCAGGCAGAACGCTGTATACATAATAAATAAATCTTAAAAAAAAAAAAAAAGAAGGGAGGGAAGGAGGGAGCAAAAGGGGACACCTTTAATCCCTGCCCTGGGGGGCAATGACAATGGGATTTCTGTGACTTCCAGGCCAGCCAAGGTAGCACATGGACTCTTGTATCGAGCATTCTTCCCGCCAGCCTGGTCCCAGAGCCACATCAGTCCCAAATGGACACGCAGGACGCTATATTAATTAGTTGGTCGTTTGCTGTGGTTTCTTATTGACTAGTTCTAACTTAATTATTAACCAATAACTGCTAATCTGAGTATTTCCACGTGGCCTTCTCTTACTGGAGAAAGGGTCCAGACCTCTTACTCCTCTCACATCCTACATGGTGACTGACTGTGCCTCTGTTTCCCAGAATCCTCCACCTCTCCTAGTCCCACCTCTCTTGCTTCCCTATTGGCTAACAGTGCTTTATGGATCAACCAATAAGACAAACATACACACAGAAGGACGTCCTCCGTCAGAATCTGTCTTAAACAAACAAGCCCAGGAGTGGTGGCACACACTTTTAATTACTCCAGATGCTGGGGAGACAGAGGCAGATGGCTTCTTGAGGTCAGCCTAACTTATTTGGGCAGTTCCAGTGAGAGATCCAGTCTCTAAAACAAGGTGGACAGACACCTGAGGTTGTCTTCCGGAATCCATGCAGACATATGTACTCGTGTACTCAGGAACGCGCCCTTTTACACAAATTGTTTTCACAGAAGAAAAAAATTCACCTTTCTGTGAAAGGCTGCCCTGGGTATCCACTGTCTTGAGAAAGGGGGAGGGGAACACACACCAGCTATGTTCAGCAACCCTGAGCCACATCTGGGCCACGGTCAGGGCCAGGAAGGAGCCGGTGACTGTTTCAGGCTTGCAAACCGAGCCACTCTGTTCCCAGATCAACCCTACTGCTGCATGGAGTCAGCTGCCGATGGAGGCCAAAAGCAGCCCTTGCAGGCTTCTGAGAAGACTTGATTTGGAACAGGTCCTATTACTGGGTCAGTGACCACAGGACTCTGCAGGTGACCTGCCAACCGCAATCTACAAATCCCCGGCCCAGGAACTGACAGTGTATGATAGAATTAAGTGATACAGTCCAGTAGCCTCTGTAATGAGAAACACAGCTGCAATGGGTTTTCCAAACTAAGGCCAAGGGCAGTTCCCACACAAACGCTGATTTGCTCTGAATTTAAACATCACGTTTAAGTTTGGGGCTCCTCAGGCCCACCCTGTCCTCAGGCCTCCTTCTGGTTTGACAAATAAGCACAATGGCCCAGAAGACTTTTAAAACCAAGCTGCATTTGCTGTTACAGAGACTGGAGAGACGGCTCGGTGGGCCGGAGTGCTTTCTGTACAAGCATAAGGTCCTGAGTTCAGAACCCAACACCCACAAAAAAAAACAAGGGCTGGCCATGCACTTGCCTGTAACTCAAGCACTGAGAGAGGGCTGTGGAGACAGCGACATCACTGGGACTGGCCGGCTTCCAGACTCTCTAGCTTCCAGGTTCCATGTGAGTGATAGGGCAGGACAATGACGTTTTCCTCTGGAATCTGCCTGTGTGCACAGGCTCACACGTACACCACACATGCATGCACACACTCACATACACACTCACACATAATCACATACACACACATAAACTCACACACATAATCACATACACACACATAAACTCACACACATATACACATACTCACACACTCACATAACATACTTACACATACATACTCACACACACATATACACCCTCACACATACACACACACACACACACACACACACACAAACCACAGGGTGTTTTGGTTTTTTTTTTTAGTAGCAAAGGATCAAGTTGGGGAGAGTGAAAGTAAGATGAAGGGGGGGGTCAGCTTCTATCCCTCTTTTCCCACAGAGTCCTTGACGGTGTTGTCTTACCCTAGAGATGATTTGTGACAATGTTTGAGAGGGCTGCGGTTACAGTGAGGCTCACGGGTGCCCCGTGTTCCAGGATTTGATCACTCACTGCCCATGGGAGTTGACCTTCAGTTCCCAGCTCTTCTTGGAGGTCAGGGCTTCAGTTCGTAACTTTACTTTCTAAACTGGAACCAGCAAATACTCACTATGGTGTCCCGTGGCCAAACCTCAGGCCAACAAACACATTTCCAACAGACAAGCATTCCAGGGACCTGAAAGTCAGCTTCCAGGGCACAGATTTCTGTCTTGTTTGTCCCCCAGGGCGTCCTGTGCTGAACAGAGCCTGGCGTGAGGCATACTCTCTCTAACTAGTGCTGCAAAATGCCTCACTATCAGTATATATCAACTGCCTTGTAAAGGCTCCAGCAGACAGGGCTCTGAGGATCACATTAATTAAAGTAGGTGTCTTACTAGGTTCCCACTGCTGGGATAAAATACCGTGACCAAAAGTAACCCGGGAGGAAAGGGCTTTATTTCAGAATACAGCCCCACACCATACTCTGTCACCGTGGGAAGTCAAAGCAGAAACCCAAGGCAGGGACCTGGAGGCAGAAGCTGGTGTGGAGGCCGTGGGGAAATGCCGGCTCGCTCCTCATGGCTTGCTCAGCCTGCTTCCTTATAGCGCCCAGGACCACCCAAGGGTGGTGGAGCCCACAGTGGGCTTGGAACCTCCCACATCAGTCATCAGTCAAGACGATGCCCCCACAGACTTACTTACAAGCCAGTCTCACGGAGGAGCTTTCTCAATTAAAAGTCTGTCTTCCCAGCTATGTCTAGGTTTGCGTCCAGTTTGCAAAAGCCAACCAGCACAGCAGGCTTCCCTTCATGAACACTTCCTCAGTTTACCTACTTTGCATTATGTGGCTCCCCTGTCTGACTCTCTGTGCTCACGCATGACTTCACAGTAGCAGGAGCTGTTTCAATGCTCCCCTCTTTAAATTCTACTCTACGTGACAGGACTTGAATAATTTAAATTTGTGACTAATGATTCTACTTTTACATTATCTCTCCTGGAACACTTTTGCCCACTAATCTAGCTTAATCAGCAGATGATACACCCACTCTTCATTTAAGATTAACTTGTACGTGTAGAAAAAAAACTTTAAGTGGCTTTTCCATCACCCTTTGGTAAAATTACTTATCTTTTTAAAAGGTTTATTTTATTTTTGTTTGTGTTGTATATGTATGCATCTGTGTGTGTGCGAGTGTGTGCGTGCGTGCGTGCGTGCGTGTGTGTGTGTGTGTGTGTGTGTGTGTGTGTGTGTTTAATGCATGCAGTGCCCACAGAGGCCAGAGGAGGGCAGTGGAGTCCCTGGAGCTGAGCTGTGGTCATCAGGAACCAAACTTATGTCCTATGCAAGAGCAGCAGACACTCTTAACCTCAGAGCCGTCTCTCCAGCCCACTTAGAATAAATACCGTTACAAGGCAACTATCTGATTTCTAAAACCTGTGGACCGGGCTGGCCTGGACCTCCCTCTGTAGACCGGGCTGGCCTCAAACTCACAGAGATCTGCCGGCCTCTGCCTCCCGAGCGCTGAGACTAAAGGCCTGCGCCGCCCCCACCTGGCTGGAGCTGTTTTCTTAAATCACCATTTTCAGTTGGACAAAATTCAATCCTTTTCCCTAAAATAGGTTCTCACTCTTGAGCTTGCTCTCGTGGCATGCTGAAACTCCACGGTGAATAAATCACAGACTTTGTTTCCCTCTCAGAAAGTCTATGGTCAGTAGCAGGAGGTGGGAGGAGTCAGGGAGCAATGGAAGGCAGATGAATAAGGACCGAGAGCAATGACGCATGTGTCGGGCAATGCCGCAGTGAGATGCACGGTGCTATGTGCTACCACCGAGATTTCCATGTGGAAAACTGAACACTAACTCTTACCTGAAGCTAGCTGGGTATAGGAAGCACACTCTCATCCCGGCACTCAGAAGCAAAGGCAGGCATGTCTCCCTCCGTGAGTTCCAGGCCAGCAAGAGGATACATAGGGAGACCTGTCTCAAAAACAAAGGTAGCAAATGAATAACTAAACGATAATACCTGCTGGTCTAAAAATACCAATATTGATGCTGACAAACTTAGTCAATAAATATACAGGGCTAACAAGACGGCTCGTCAGGTAAGGACGCTTGCAGCCAAGGCTGATGGTCTGAGTTCAGTTCCCAGAGCCCACATGATAATAGAAGGAGAGAGCTGACTCCCCCAGGGTCTTTTGGTCCTGTGTTGTGTGTGGACACTCACAATGAATGAATTAATGAATGAATGAATGAATGGAAACATATTAAACATACTGGAATGCTTCCTGGTGTTTATTTTTTCCCCTCTTCCTGCCTAAGGTATCCCATAATCCTTTCTCACAGTGCTTTACATCAGCACGGTCCGTATTGCACCTAGCTACAATTGGTAGGCAGCCACAGTCTGAAATTGCCCCTGAACACTTGAGATGAGACTATATGCCAAGCCAAGCTGTGGTTGTGCATATACACGGTTTTGAATGCTTGAGATTTTATATATATAGCTACAGAAAGAATCCAAGACCTTTAAAATTAATTAACTGTGTGTGTGTGTGTGTGTGTGTGAGCGTGCGCGCATACCCACATATTAAATGACATATGTATGTACAGGTACGTTCAATGCTCACCCGCACAGGTGTGTAGGGAGCCAGAAGTTAACATCAAGTTGTCATCCATCACCTTCCACCTCATTTCTTTTCTTTTAAAAACTTATTATTATTATTATTATTATTTGTTTTGTGTGTATGGATGTTTTGTCTGCAGTAAGTGTGTCCCCATATGCATGCATGGTGCCCACAGAGGCTAGAAGAGGGCATCTGATGCCCTGGAACTGTAGTTACGGACAGTTTCGAACCACCGCATGAGTGCTGGGACTCGAACTCGGCTTCTCTGAAAGAGCGACCAGTGCTACAGAAACATCTTTCCAGCCCTCTGCCTTGTTTTCAAGGACAGATCTCTCACTGAACCTGGGGCTCACCACGGCAGCCAGACTGACTGGCCAAGTAACTCCAAAGATCCCGGTCTCTGCCTCCCCGGCGCCGGGCTTGCAGTCGTGTGCCCCACCCACGCTCGGCTCTCACTCGGGAGCTGGAGACCCTAACTCAGGTCCTCCTGCCCAAGCACTTCACCCACCGAACCCCGGTCACTACATCCGCCACACCCAGAGTAGAGGAAGGGGCGGGGCGGTGAAACCACAGAAGCTCCTGATTAGGAAACTCGTGATTGGAGCCTCTGCACAGCTCATCTAACTAAGCTCCACCCTCTGCCGCCTCCTCCGGTAAGCAGGTGGAAGCATTCTTCTGGTCCTTTAGGTACCTACAAGTGATTTACTCGGGCCAAAATCACAAAATTCCTTTTGTTAAATGAACATGAAGGAAACTTTCTCTAACTGCTTTTAAAACCTGTGGGTGTCTGACTCCAGATCTGCCTGGTCCAAATTCGTGAGCAGCCACCCAGCCCGGTTGCCCCTGAGCACTTGAAATGTGTGGCTAGTCAGTGCAGTAGTTCCAGTGACCCCTGAAGAGTAGAACAGATTTTCGCAGAGGAAAAATGTAAAGAAATCCCGTATCTCCCTAGAGAAAACTGACTGCCTAGTGAGTCCATTAAATAAGAATCAGGACCGTACAGAGGAGCAGGGAGAGGGTAGGAGTGAGCTCAAGGAAGTTAATTAAGTGGATATTAAAAGGGTCCCTGCCACCGACTTCCAACACAAAAGCTGGGGTTTGCGTGTAAAGGGAGAGAATGCGAGGGTGGGAGGAGAAGGGGTCCCTTGTCGGGTGGGTCAAACAGAGGAACGTAGCTACTGGTTGGGGTGGGGTTCAGGTCTAACCCCTGCCCCCTCCCCCGTGAGTGCAGGGCAGGGTGGGACTTTGGACAGGCTTCAGGGTGTGGCTGCTGTGCTGGTCTCCTGTGCTCTGTGGTTAAAGGAAGGGACAGGTGGGGAGGAAGAGAGGAGGGGAGGGCAGGAGAGGGGAGATGAGGAGGGACTGAGGGATATAAAAAAGGAAGGGGTGGGTTGGGCTGGTGAGAATCAACCCTCACTTTTATTTCCCTCATTTTTCAGTGAGACTTTAATAAAAATGTTACAGTGTGAAATGAGAGGCTTCCGGGGAAGAGTGGAATGGGTCACCAGGGGAAACAGTGTTGCTGATAGACTCGTGATTTTGAGCAAACTGAAGAAACTTTAATTACAGAACCAGAAGCTTCCAAGGAAGGAACAGGCACCCTGAGGCTTGCCACGCCCTCTGGCTGTAAAGTTACCTGCAGTCTGTTTGGAGTGGGGGCCTGCTAGGTGGCTTCTGGGAGGTCATGTCACATCTGGGCCCCAGATCCGTAAGACAGCAGGCCGTGCTAAACGGTCCCTGTGGGCCCTTTAACCAACATGTTTCTCCTCTCTGTCGGACCGTAGCACACTTAACACTCAGCCCTGGAGGGAATCTGGACAAACATTTAATAACGGTGTCTCTTAGTGTTGGTTTGAAATTTGGTTTTGTTTTCATCCAAAGGGAAAGATGAACAGTTTTGTGCCCCATCATTGAGAGGGGGTGGGGACTCTGTGATCAAGTCAGGTTTGTTAACAGGTGCCTCAATAAGGTACAGCCGAAATACAGAAGGAAGCTGCTGCCACTGCGGATCCAGCCAGTTCCGGTGCTGTCCCCCCCCCAGCCCCTCCTTCCAAAAGGGGATGAGCGCCAAGCCGCCAGCCAGAACATTCCCTGGCTGGCTCCCAGCTCGCCTACACCCAAGAGAGCATCCTTAGCCCACCCTCACCTTTTATTCCGGTATTCAGTCAAGTACCCCCAGAGAAGGCCATGCCCATTGGGCCAGGCCACCCCAATACGATGTTTTGAGTTACCTTTATTCTCCTCTTTGTAATACCGCACTGTTATAGAAGCGCTAAACTTGCCTCAGTTTCCCTCTGGTGATCAGTGTCCATGAGAACAAAAACAAAACGGTTTGCTGATATCTGAAAGGAAAACCATAAAACAAACAAACAGAAGAAGTCTGGGACGATTAGTCCGTGACGGTCTTGTCTGGCAAATACAGGGACTTGAGTTCCTTATCCCAACCCTGCATTAAAACAACTTAAAAACAAAACAAACATGGGCACACAGTTGTAAAGCCAGCACTGGGGAGACGTACAAACAGGAAGGTCCTTAGGGCTTGACAGTCAGTCAGCCTAGCTGAAGCGACAAACTCCAGGCCAGTGAGACTCTGTCTCCAAAAACAAAAACAAGGTTGATGACGTCTGAGGGACATCACCCAAAGTTGACCTCTAGTCTCCCTCCCCCCCCCACACACACACGGAAATTCACACAAAAATAATAATAATAACGTAATTGGAGTGCTCCCACACTGGCCAGAAAGTAGACACACACTTAACACTTGCAATTTTATTATCCTATGAAACCTCATTTATGACAGAAAGGAACATCACCGAGTCCCTCATGACCAGAGTCCCTCACGACCAGAGTCCCGGACTTTCACCCAGAGCTCTATTACCCCAGCCTGTCTGTCTCTGACACAGGCACACCCGGCCCCTGACGGAGGAGCGTTATGGTAGAGCAGCAAGAGAATCCATTCTGACAGGCCCCATCTGCCCTGGACTCAGAGAGCTATCTATTCATCTGGCCTAAGCCATGTATTCCAACTGCACAGGAAATGCAAAACTATACAAAGTAACCCTAAAATCCACCCGAGTGTCGGCATTTGCTGGTGCCAAAGCCAACACTTTTCACACTGAGATCTGATGCCCCGTCCTGTTGTGATCCCAAGTTGGCAAACAAGCAAAATGAGCTTTCAGCAGACATGTGACCCAGGCCACCCTAGCTCAGTCACAGTAGACCGGGGGTGCAGGCTCCCTGAGTTCACCGGTTGGCAGGTCTCCACTCTCAGAATGACCTGTCCATCGTTTGCCGGCTCAGCAGTCGCCCAGTAGGGCAGGGGTGGGGGATGGGCCCTGCCCCTCCATTGTCACAGGCTCCCCAGGATTTAAGTAATGAACACATTAAAGTACATTCCCACGGTCTGACGGGACTACAGAGACGGCCACAAACTCCTCCCACTTGTATCTGCGTGTCTCTTTTGCTTCTCCCCAGTGGGTCCTCTGCATCATGATTTAAGACAGGTCACTGAAGTGACCGCATTGGGGCGCCGAGTCTCAGCCTCGGGAAGAAACCCACCAGACAGCTGAGCACAGCCCAAGTGGCTGGACTGGAGAGTTAGAAGGAAAAAAATGTTTATTGTGCTAAGCCACTAAGTTTGGTAGGTTAGAGCATCGATGGATAAATTACATTCAACCGGGGACAGAATACTTTTGGGAACAAGCAAGGCCATTTTTTGACGGAAGGAACTGCCTTCACGACGTGAAGCCTGGGCAAGTGTGTTCCTGAAAGAAGCCTTTTGACAGACCTATTACACGATGCTGAAGGAATGGAGATACGGGCCATGCTGAGGGATCACCCAGCTCCACCGCCAGGGAGTTCTCTGCAGAGATTCCTGCGTGGACCCTGGGGAGAAATAAGAGCCTCCATCAAAGCACCGGCTTCCAGGATTGTGCAGGTTCTTCTGCGTCGGCTCTGGGGCTCCATGCCCGGGGCCTTACCCAGACTCCTGATTAATTCTGCTCACAGCCCCGTAACACCCATGCTGATGACTCCTGCGTCTGAGGAGCTGAGTGGAATGTGGGGTGGGGTTCATCCTGAGTACGGATCAGCTCATACCGCTGAGACCCAGTCGCTTTCCTCCCCGCTGTGACAAAGCACAGGACATAAGCAACCTAAGGAAGGGAGGGGTTGTTTTGGCTCTGATGGTAGAGTCCGGCGTGGTGAGTGTGCTGGATGGTTTTATGTAAGCTTGACAGAAGCTAGTGTCCTCTGAAAGGAGGGAGCCTCGATTAAGAAAATGCCTCCATAAGATTGGGCTGGAGACCATTTTCTTAGTTAGTGAGGACTCCCTGGGCTGGCGGTCTTATGTTCTATAAAAAAAGCCGGCTGAGCAAGCCATGAAGAACAAGCCAGTAAGCAGCTCCCTTCTAAGGCCTCTGCATCAGCTCCTGCCTCCAGGTTCCTGCCCTGCTTGAGTCCCTGCCCTGACTCCCTTCAGTGATGGACTATGATCTGGAAATATAAGCCAAATAAACCCTTTCCTCCTTAACTTGCTTTTTGGTCATGGTGTTTCATCATAGCCATGGAAATCCTAACGAAGACAAGTTGGTACCAGGTCTGTGGGGTATTGCTGTGATGACCTGACCATGTTATTTGGGGGGGAAGGTTATGGAAGGACTCTGGGACTTTGGGATACGCTTGGTGAGCTGTTCTATAGGAGCTTGGGAGGTAAGAGTGCTTTGGGGTAGGGTGGGGTGGGGTTATGGAAGGACTCTGGGACTTTGGGATACGCTTGGTGAGCTGTTCTGTAGGAGGTAAGAGTGCTGAGGGCAGTGCAGAAGACGAAGGCCTGACTTGGAGTCAGCACAGGACACACCCAGACACCAAATGCCCAGCGCAAAGGAGATGTATTACCCCGAGGGGCGAGCAGGGATGGAGTGGGTGGGTGGGCGCTGCTCTGGACCAGACGAAGGCAAACAGCAAGTAGCAGGTGCTTTTGTAGGCGTGGTTTGTTTGTTTTGTTTGTTTCAACACAGGGTTTCTCTGTGTAGCCCTGGCTGTCCTGGAACTTGCTCTGTAGACCAGGCTGGCCTCGAACTCACAGAGATCCGCCTGCCTCTGCCTCCTGAGTGCTGGGATTGAAGGCGTGTGCCACCACCGTGCAATTTAGGAGTAGGTTTTTGAAGAGAAAAGGGGAAGTCTGTGCTAGGGTGAGCTGGGAAGCCCTGATTGGACAGGTTAGCTAGTGTAGCCAAATAATGACTGGACCCTGGGGGCTATCATTAGGAATGTAATCTAGCGGTTAGCAGGAGAGAGGGAATGGGAAAGGGCAAAGTCTGCCTGCAATGCTTGGTCCTGCTCAAGAGCCCTTCAGAGATTGACGCTGGTGATCGGCTCACTTTCTCCTTTTACTTCAGTCCGGGACCCCAGCCCATGGGATGGTGAAGCTCACAGCCATAGTGAGTCTTCCCTCCTCGGTTAAACGTCTCTGGAAACACCCCAGTGCGTCTCCCAGGTGACTCCGAATCAAGCTGGCAGTGAAGATGAACCGCCACGATGTGTCCTAACAGTCAGCTGGGGTTGAGGGTCCTCATCTGGGATTTGCAGGTTCTGTGGAGCTGACTGTGGACAGCTTTTGTGTACCGGAACCACCAAGCCATTCCTCCTGCTGTCAAGAGAACACCTCTCACCCCGAAGACCCACAGTACCCCATAATCTTTGTGTTCCTGGCGCCTAAGGAATCTTCGTGGTTCTTTGGGGGCTCCGTGCCTTCCTTATGCCCTCCAAGTCTAGCTGGAATGCAAAATTAAGTTTGTTATGAATAAAAAAAAAAACTAAGCAAGAGCTGCTACCAAAAAAAAAAAAAACTTATCTGCCTAATGCCCATAGATAAATGTAAAGTTTCTCTTCACCACAAATGGAGACCATTGCCCAAAATCACAGCTGGTCAAAATGTACAGAAAAGCTTGTTGTGGGGTGCTCAGCCCCAACAGATACATCTACAACCCAATTCCTACACCCAGAGTACAGGGAGCACCATGGAAAAGGAGCGAAAAGATTGTAAAAGCCAGAGAACCTGGAGATTAGGAGTGAGATTGGGTCTCCTAGAAATGACAGGGACGCTGTATCCATAATACCTTAACAATATGGCAGCCCAGACAGAATCCAAATAGTCACAACACTAACAGACGTGCTAATGTGTGTGTGTGGGGGGGGGGGAATCATGGCCCCATCCCTAGACAAAGAACTGCAGGTAAGTAAGGAATCTGAGAGTTAGTCTCCCCCAGGGATAAGCCCCCTTATTTTTTATCCAACACCAAGAGGTCAGTCCTAAAATAATGTACATACAAGCAACACTACATAGACTCATCCTGCTTGTAGTCCCACATGCGTGTGTGTGTGTGTGTGTGTGTGTGTGTGTGTGTGTGTGTGTGTGTGTGTGTGTAGCAATAATGATCAAAGGGGGAAAAAAGGCCACAAATCTGAAAGGGTAAAAGGAAGGGGGCATTGATGTCATTATATCAGAGTTACAATGTTTTAAAAGAATTCTTATCTGTTGAAGTTGTGGAGGCTAAGGAGGCTAGTGGCATTTACTAAATAAATAAAACAATCTGCATAAATAAGTTTGGAGTGTAAACTCTACAAAGTTCCCCATGAAAAGACAGGACACCCATGTCATTCTCCTCACCCTTGCCCTGGAGCTCAGGCCCTCCAATGGCAGGACTTTGGACTCTGCCGCAGCCCGGGCTGCTTGCTGCTGCTGGCAGCCTTCAGCAGACAGGAAGGCAATGAGAGCAGGTTTCATCTGTGGATCACCAGGTCAAACGAACACTAATCAGGAAAAAATGCTTATCTATTAAATGCTCCACCGAACCCTTTAAACATCACCTGTGAGCCATACGTTTGGGTTAGGGAGAGAACGGATCTTTACCGTATGCAAATCGAGGGTGGAATGGGAGTGTCCTCCTGAGCCCCAGCTGTCCCTCCACTCACCAGTCACTAGAGCCTCTTTTAACTACCAGACTCTCTCTTCCACTTGGCTGTGGCTTGAAGCTCATTATCCCTCAGAGTTTACCTTCAGACAACTGAAGCCCTGCCCACGCCTGGCCTTTAGGGATCAGCTGGCTTGGTTTTCCCCCTGTAACAGATCCAGGCAGTGGCCGGATGTTGATTGTGCTGGTGATACCCATTGTGGCTGTGTGCCCACACCTAGGAATACAAATGTAGGAATGTTCTGGGAACATGTTCAGGAACCCAAATTCTTAGTCCCTCTCTAGAATTCCTTGGAGTGACCATCGGACTTCTTGGAGCTGTGTTCGACTGTTGTGGAATATTGATTAAGATGTGTTACATTTGTTTATGCTGTGGAGCACTTGTTTAGTGGTGCAAAGATGTGCTGCGTTCTCTTATGCTGCATTTGTTTAACTCTGAAGCTGCGTTACTTTGCCTGCCTAAAACACACCTGGTTGGTCTAATAAAGAGCTGAACAGCCAATAGGTAAGCAAGGGAGAGAAACAGGTGGGGCTGCCAGGCAGAGAGGATAAATGGGAGGGAAAACCCGGGAAGAAAAACATCTAGGAGTAAGGGAACAAGGAGAAGAGGACGCTAGGGGCCACCCACACAGCCAGTCACAGAGTGAGCGTAAGATACACGGAAGCATAGGAAAGGTAAAAGCCCAGATGCAAAACACTCATAAGCATAAAACACATCAATTTAAAATATATTTTAAACAAACAAGAGGGCGAGAGCTGTGGAGACAGCTCAAAGGACAGAGGCGCTCGCTGCCACTCCTGGCAACCCGAGTTTGAATTCCGGCCCCCACGAGGTGGAAGAGGAGAACGGATTCTCGAAAGTTCGTCTTCTGACCTCCACGTGTGCACTTCGGCAGGTGTGCCCAGACACACGCGCGAAGATGCAATTAAAAATCGATGGGTGACCAACTGATAAGGTTTCAACTGCTCATAAAGAATTAATGGCAAAGCGAGTACTGGAATACAGGCCACACCTGGAGTGCTTCCGGCGGCAATGGTAACTCACCAAACACAATTATTTTCACAAAACTGTTTTGCCCATTTCCACCTAATTTACCTTTAGCAAGATCACAAAGGTCTGGCGGTGATCCATCTGGGACGTCCCTGCGCGTCTGGGGCTTCTCTGCAGTTTCCTAGGCTTACCTTGTTCCTTCTTCACAAAGCTCCGTCGGTGTTTGGAGAAATGATTTTGTAAAAGTTGGTAAAGTGTTAGTAGGTAAGACCGCTTTCCCGGATAATGGTGTGCCTGACACTTTAAACATCTGAAATCCCCCGAGTGCTCAGATCTCGGGTGGAGGAGGTCAGACAATGTCCCTGGAGGTGGCTCCTATTAGCTGGCCTTTGGGGTATGTAAAGTAGGAGGCAAGGGTGGGGAGATGGGGGCAGAAGCTGCAGAATCATAAGCATCCCTGCAGACAGACTGCTGAGCACCTGCATCCCCGCCGCCCCTCTGTGCAGGGGGAGGAAGCTGATTCTCCCAGGGAAACATCCAGTGCGGTGAGGGGAGCCTGATGAGGCTCGATTCCACTGCTCAAACAATTCGAGGCTCAGAAAACATCTGAAGCTCTGATTTTAGCATTTTTGATTTGGGCACATTTAAATGTTAATGGACGTCTTTTGTAAGTCACTAAACTCATTTGGAAACAGTCGTAGGCTGTTTTGAAGATGGTTTTTGTTAATTCATCTGGAATGTGCCTCCTCTTTTATGTGTTTTTAAAAAATTCATCTAGAGTAAATATTAATGATTGTATTAATAATCATGCTGCCGGTTTCTGTGTGTGAGGGGCTGTGCTGAGTCACTGGCATATATTAGCCAGCTCTTGCTGCCACTGGAGCTGAGCCTCAGAGATTCTGAACACAGAGGCCAGCCACACAGGTCCACGCTAGGTAGCCCATCCCCTAAGCCTTCTGGTGGATGTCACCTGCATCACAGATCACACCGCTACACTGGGTAACGCTTTTTGTGTGTGCACATATCTGTCTGTCTTTCTGTGCATGTTTTCGTGTGTGGCTTTGTATGTATGTCTGTGTCTGTACATATCTGTCTGTACATGTCTGATTCTGTATGTCTGTCTTTGTGTCTATGTGCATGTCTGTGTGTGTGTGTGGTGTGTGTGTGTGTGTGTGTGTGTGTGTTGTATGTAACAGCCACATTTAATACATTCAGCATAGATGTGCGGCACTTACTACAGCGCCGGGAGACTTCTCGATACTGACATTTGAATGGGCAAGCTCCCTGACGCTCCTGCGTCCACATGTAAACCAACGACTCATACTCATCCTTCTTCTTGGCTTCAGGGTCATTTTTAGCATGTTTCTCTGCATCCTGGGAGTGCCTCCAGGTGGTTGCCCACATTACTCCTCACAATGGCCTGGACCTGTTTTTGTATGCACCTGGGTCTATTCTATTTCAGCAGAAGGCGATTTTGCTCTAGGGCTTGTGGCTTTCCTGCAACGTGTCCTTGTCCATCTCTCTTTTCTTCTCTCCCTGTGCCTTTCTTTACCCTGGTCCTACTTTACGGCTCTACACTTTGGGTCCCTGGAGACTCACACAGTCCCGTAATGTCAAACGAAGCTGGGTAATGGCGCATGCCTTTAATCCCAGCACTTTGGAGGCAGAGGCAGGTGGATCTCTGTGAGTCCAAGGCCAGCCTAGTCTACAGGGTGAATTCCAGGACAGCCAGGGCTACACAGAGAAGCCCTGTCTCAAACAAACAAACAAAAAAACCAAACAAATAAAACAAAACAAAAAGCCAAATTATGGGCCTTTCACAATGAAGAGTATTTGGGCATTGAAAATTAGACTTGATGGTTTATTTTGTTGTCTTTTTAATGCATGTGTTTTGCCTGCATGTATGTCTGTACCACTTGAGTGGGGGGGCGGCTGCAGAAGTCAGAAGAGGGCATCAGATCCCTTGGAACTAGAGTACAGATACCTGTGAGGCACCATGTGGGTGCTGGGAACTGAACCCGGGTCCTCTGCAAGAGCAGCCAGTGCTCCTAACCACTGAGCCATCTCTCCAGCCCTGACAGACCAGAGCTCTGCTGAATAAATCAGTGAACTAGATCTACATGCAAAGCAAGAGCCCAGACTTAGACTCCTCCTGCTAAACACGCTTGGCTGCCTCATTTGCTCATTAATGACTTTGCGGTTTCTGCTTTCTCTCATTCTGTGTGTCTGTCTTTGTATGTGTCTATGTGCATGTCTGTGTGTATGTGTATCCCACACGACTGTTTATTATCTCTCCTTTTTTTCCCCAAAGGACTCCCATTTAAAGGTGCCTATCAGTTCTACCGAGGGTCTGCAGTCTAATTAATTAACTTCCGCTTTTTGTCACTGTTGGTTTCTTCTCTCCATTTGATGTTGTTTATTGAACTTACTGAATGGAACTGGGAACTCATTCACTTTTGTTTTGTTTATTAATAACATAATGTAGGGATACTGATTTCCCATTTGGTTTTTTAAAAAGCTTCGGGGCTCACTCTACAAATACTATGTTATGCAATCATTTCATTGTTCTAACTGAAATTTGAATTTTTCTTTTTGACCCAAGAGTTAGTTATATAGTACTTATTTATTTATTTGGTTATTTTTTTAGACAGGGTCTTGCTATGTAGCCCTGGCTGTCCAGGAACTTATTATGTAGACCCACCTGACCTCTAACTCACAGAAATCCACCCACCTCTGCTTCCTGAGTGCTGGGATTAATGGGGTGTGCACACCCTGATAGTCATGTAGTATTTTTAAATTTTCTCTGTGTTGTAACGAGTTATAAGGTAGTCAGGATTACATAGTGAGATTGTCTAAAAAATAATTCCTGTGTGTTTAGGGTGTTTTATCATTATTTTTGCATTGTATGTGATTGTACACAGTGTGAAACATTGTATACATGTTTGTTCTATATGGAACAAAAGATAATATATACTCCCTATACAGAAAACATAAAGGTCTTGGATACTGATTTTATTTCATCTTAGAAATGTGTTTTATTATTTAAGTGCACATATGAGTGTAGTACCCTCAGAGGCTAGAAGAGGGCATTGGATCCCTTGGAGCTGGAGTTAGAGTCAATTGTGAACTGTCAGACATGGATGCTGGGCACAGAACTTGTGTCCTCTGCAAGAGATCCTAATTGCCCAGTCCTCTCTCCAGCCCTTTGGACACTGATTTTAAACATACTGCTTTCATTATTCATTTTTGTTCCATCACAATTAATAGATCATCTAAACTTTCAGAGATGGGGAGGTGGTTATTAAACTTTTCTGGTTTCCACACACAATTTCAGTTTTAGGTCAAGGCTATGAGACGGCCCCCTTTTTCAGCTGCACTTGGGTGATGTGTAATGCCCTTGTCCTGTCAAATGCAACCTTTTTTTTTTTTAGTTATTTCAGGCTAGTTCTCACTGACCACGTGCATCTGCCTGTGACTCTGCATAATTAAGCAACAGTGTGGGGCCATGGACACTTCTTGCAACAATGCTTTCCCTTTCAACCCTATTTCTGTTTCTGCTTTGTGCTCCACTTACCTGTGGGTACCAGTGCTATGTGGCCCTGGCTAGCCTGATACTTGACTCTATAGCCCAGGCTGTCCTTGAACTCTTGGCAAGGGTTCTGGTTCAGCGTCCTGACTGATGGGATTATAGCATGTACCATTACATGCAGAAAAAATGCAGTTATCTTTAATGACATTTTGCTGTGCTACTTGAAGACACAATGTCATTTGATTGACTTCTCGGCACTGACATGTGTTATCTTAGACATGGGAATCCAACACAGCCTGTGCTTTTCA